GGGGCCCACCCGACAGACGGCTCCTGTCGGGGCCGCGCGTGGGGTGGCGCGCGGTCTGTGAAAGGTTTTGGCTGTCCGGCGCCAGATTTCAGAGCCTGGTCACACGTCGCCCAGGACTGAGGCGCTATCACGTCACGAAGTGGACCGTGCTCATTGCCCCGTGACACGGCGGGACGGAGTGGACTCGGTGTTTGCTCCAAGAGATGCCGAAGAATCTGAATCTTAGCTGACTGCCCGTTAGCGAGGTCATTTTCAAATCCTTGCGTAAAGTTAAACATACGCAGTGAAAGGGTGAAGATACGATTATTAAACTCCTTGGAAGCTAATTGCATGTCCTATTTTCTGCTAATCGAGCCACAGGTAATGTAAATTCTTTCACTAGAAGAGGTCTGAAATGTTTTTCTTTTCAGGGAGCCTCTTGGAAGATTCTCGGTATTGCATTCATTTGTAGCATCGTGAAGTTTTTTAAATTATTGTTGTATGTCCTGTGTCAGTAAGACCTGAAAGTGCTTTTGTCGATGGAATGTATGTAACGATCCCTTTTTTTTTTTTTTTTTTTTTTACATTTCTTACATTTTCTTTTCTACATTTACTTTCAGTAGCAAGAACTCTGAGAGACACTTGGAGCATTACAAATGAGAGGTCACTGCTGGCTGGACATCACTTCAGTTCCAAACGCCACTATCAGTTGTTAATGCCATAGCAATTCACCACAAGGCTCAATGCCAAGTCCGTAACAATCCAGTGAAGTTACTAGTGGCACAGTGATTGCCTATTCAGCCACTTTTGTCCAACGCATGTCCAGATGAGAGTTTTAAAATCCTTAATACCCAACAGTGGTATGATTTTAATTAAATATTATAAATCTCCCAAACACAGAGCAGCAGTAGTAGAACCAGTCGTCTTTGTGCTGATCTGCGAAGAGAACACATGCTGACTTGGAGACTGGCACTAGCAGAACTAGAACCCAGTCTGGCGTTTCTCCAGATGCTAGTACACCAGTTTTAAAAGCAAATAGTTCAAGTTAGATCCTATATTAGCCAGGAGTGTTTTTCAGCTTACTACTACACAGAAAAAAGTTGCAAACTGTGATTGTCTTGAATTCCTGCATCACTTATTTTGAAATAGAGCTAACTTTAATCGGCCACCTAACTAGACTTTTCTGTGTACCACCAGCCTGAAATGCCTTCTGATGACTCAGGCTAACACATTCAGTGCTGACTTGGTTTTGTCACTCACGTGACACCCACGTGAATGTGGGTGCTAAATACAAATTACTTTTAAAAAAGGAAATAAGTCCCATATGTTAGAAGTTCCGAACTCCTAAGACAGGGTGAGAAAAAAGAAATGTTTTACATCTTTCTAAAAAAATCTATTCTATAGGAGCATGTCAGTAACAGCAGATTCTGCTCTTTAGCCAGTGCCTTTACAAATTAGCACCAACTCATTTTTTGAGCTTTTGCTTTGCATAAGTGCTTTACTGAGTTACTGACTGAGCTTGATTTATTCAAAGCAACAAAATGCTCCAATTTTTAACGATTTTGAGCAATTAATTGAATGACATCCCTATGCTGGACATTGAAACGGAAAGCATACAGCTCTGAGGAAAAATCACTACTGCTCTTCATTTCTTTCGGGGATACACAGGTAGAACAGATGTTCTGGTATTCCCCTAGTGATGCAGCAGGCAACTTGGACTACAAGTTGTAATGCTACATCATCACACATAGAGAAGAAAAAGAGGAGTAAATGGCACCATGTAGTTACCTGCAATCAAATCACAAATTATAAGCATTAAATGAGATCTGTGTGCTTTCTTCTCACCACAAAAACATTTATCTTTGTGCCCCATTCAGCAGTAGCAAATATGTCACAGTTACCTGACACTGTGTCAAGTACTCTCACACTGAAAAATCAAACTAAGCAAATCCAAAATTCCTGGTGACTGACTTTATTTTACTGAAAAATCCCGTCAAAAGGGCTGCTCTTGGTTTATCAAGTGCCAAACAATAGCTTGGACTATGTCTGCTCCAAACTTACATGGAAGTTTCAGTCATCGTAAGAAACAGCTTCCTGATAAGCTGTAAAGGAATTATTTGCACTAACTCAGTGGTTTTCAAAATGGAAAGAAGTCGTAAACCATTTACAATGTTTATAGTGATTAAACACAAATCCTGTCTCTGCAAAGAACTCCAGCTATGACTGTTACTCTTTTAAAGTAAATTAAGAGCTCTATACAGTCATCATGATTCTGAAGGCTCCAAACTTAAACTACATCCTTCAGTGGTCTGTAACAGAATTTTTCAGCTGGCACTAATTATTATGGAAGGCAGAGATGACAGTGCTGCAAGTGGCTGTTATTATCTTTTAATGTCTTGAATGGATTAATCTTGAACATGAATCCATTAACAAGGCCAACCGGTCTGAACAAACAGAACAGACGTCACTATGGAATCACAATTGTCAACTGAGAGACAACGGACTTCTCAAATGCCCTCCCATGCATGACCACATTTTGTCCAACCCGACCCATTCACTTTCGGAGGCAGTTGTTCCTGACGGGCAGTACCAGTACCACAGGCAAAAAATTTCAACATCATTAGAATCAAAGTTTTACTGCAATGTTTTACTGCAATTTTTACTTCTTCGCTTTCAGATTTTATTTAATTAAAACTATTATTCTGCCAAAGAAGGCCAGCAGCCTCCTGCACTTAGGAACCTGAGTGCCACTGGCAGGCCCAGGGAGGTGACTGGTGAGAGCATATCCAGCATGCTGTGTCCAGCTCTCCCCTCCCCAATACCAGAGAGAAGTGGACATTCTGAAGCAAGTCCATCAAAGGGCAATGGAGACAACACAGGAACTGGAGCATCTCTCATACAGGGAGACACTGAAACAGCTGGGACTATGCAGCCTGCAAGAGAAGGATCGGGGGGATCTTATCGATGTTTATGAATACCTGACAGGGAGGAGCAAATACTGAGCCAGACTCTTCTCACTGGTGCCCAGTGACAGGATGAGTAGCAATGGGCACAAACTGAAATACAGGAAATTCCTTTTAAATGGAAGAAAAAAGAAAAAGAACTCTTTTTTTTACTCTAAGGGCAAGTGGACACTCAAACAGGTTGAGTGGTTGTGGTGTCTCCACCTGTGCAGATGCTCAAAGTCTGACTGGACACAGACCTTAGCAACCAGCTCTAGCCGACCCTATTTTAAACAGGAGGGTTAGACTAGACACTCTCCAGAGGTCCCTTCCAACCTCATCCATTCTGTGATTCTGGCATTATTATAATGGTTATAAAGGTTTCACTTTCATTTTTCTAGCGACAAAAACCTGTGGTCAGTAGTAATCCTGTAAAGAACTGCTAGTTAGTTAGATTTGGGAATGTTCTTTCTGCTTGAGAATCACACAATTCAAATTAATGCCTCGTTCTGAAATGCAGTTTGTTTCTCCAGAACTTACCAAAACCAGCAGAATGATCATAAACCAACTCTGTTTATATAAAACCTCAGGTCAAGTTTGCCCTCAGGTTTAGGTTCTGAGATATTACTAAATTTGGTTTGAATACTGGTATCTTGACTACAAACAAAAAAAAAAATTCACTGGAATGAAACTCCTTGGTCAGATTCAGTTTCAGGTCTCATTTTCTTCAAGTACCAACAGAAATAGAATCAACATTTCTTTACATCACATTAAAAGCTTTTGGGTGTTTCACACAAAATCACAGAATGGTTGAGGTTGGAAGGGACCTTGATGATTTTGAAGGGAAAAAAAAAAGACGTCCAACATAATTTTAATTGTAGACATCAGATTTAAGTTTCACCTGCAGAGCAGAAATAAAGGGCTCCAAGCTTTGTTTTTTTCACTGGTTGAAATTTATTACAAATACACGTATTCACTACTTATTATGTGCCTGCTGCACATTAGAAACAAAACCATATAGAACCAAAAGTGCTTTTGTTAAATATCAGAAAAGCCCTGCAATACACAACACAATGCAGAATCCTACTGCAAGTCATTTAACCTCAGCCAGGTATAAAACCCTTGAATATCTGAACATACTCTCTCACAAGAAGTATGTAATACTAACAATTACGTACATATTGGTACCAAGGTGCTTCAGACCAAAAGCACAAATGCTTTCAAGACTGATCTCAAATGAAATATCTGAATCTGTTTTCACTAACAATTACTCTGGGCATACTTTGCCACAGTATTTTTAAATTAATTTTAAGAGGAACAAGAAAATCCCTCAAATGCCTTTAAATATGGCATTAAAGTTATCAGGCACTAAGAGAGTTCAAGATAGAAACTAATGGCTCTGCCAGAAAGAAATGTAAAGGCTTCCATGGCAGCCAGAGGCTAGATGACTTTGCCCACTCCTTCTGTACAGCTCTCTGCAGGGTAACATTTGATAAGCATAAAGCTTATCAAGCTGCACACAAGTGTAAAAAAATTCAACATGCCACAGACTGGAACTTCTACAGGGTTAGTTTCTTTCACTGTCTTGCTAAGACTCAGAAATCCGTGGGATCCCTTAGTTAGCCTCTACTTAGGGAAAAACTCAACTCCCTTACCTGATGGGGAACTCATACGTGGCAGGAAAGTCTCACACTCTCTCTGAATATGACACCATGCCTTCAGAATAACAGAAGGATCTTCCTTTCAATAGGCATGAAAACAAGACACAAAACGCCTGAGAAATCCAAACCTTCCATTTCAGATGAGCAGCTGCTTCAGAACTGAAAAAAAATTTACCTCTAGTCCCACAGGTCTTTGAATCTCTTCCCTGGGAGATACCAGAGCTAGTTCAAACCTTGGATACATAGCCACAAGAATCCCCATTTGTTAAATACATCCTTTTTTAAAAGAACAGATATGCCTGAAGAACTTGAGTTCAGGTAGCCTGGAAGATTGCATATGGGTCACAATTGCAACTCCCATCTAAACTCAGGCTCAGAGCCACTCAAACATAAGTAGTTTTTAAAGTGCTATCACAAGTGTGTGACTATGCAGAAGACAAACGTTCTACCATGATGCACCATCGGGAAATCCAGAAGTCTCCACATCTTCCAGACCTCGCTCCCTATCTTACAGCAGCAGAACCAGCTTCTATACCTGTGTTTGGCTGCCATTAACGACTGCCCTATGTCAGAAAAAAGGGCATTTTGCTGGGCATCTGTTTGTGCACTTCTTCATCGATCATCACTGCAGTTACATGTCAAGCAGTATTTTTTCCAAAAGTGTAACTCTAAAGGAACAGGAACATGCTTTTCTTTGTACCCCCGATTTACCCAATTTTTTCAACTACAGGTTTTGGAGAAAGGGTCTTA